AGTAAACCACATTCCTTGCAAACAAAATGGATGATTCTACAGGCAGGAAAGTCCTAAGTGTCTTTTTACTTTCCAGGAACATAAAGGGTAAACAATTTTGAATTCATTGTTTGGTCTCCCTACATCCTGAGGGCTAGCTGTGGTTCTTGGCTCAACAGGCATGCCTAATTTTGGCCAAACAACATTGAGAACTCACCCAACATAGAAGGCTAATCATCAGGATTAGTCAAATACAAATAAGAAGGGTTGTTGATATCGTGCTTATTTGAAATTCAGTTATAAATCCTCAGTATCACAATCTCACAGTCTAAATTCTAAATAGAGAGTAATGCCCAAAGATGCATGTGGAGGTATATGGCAGAGTTATCCACACTGTAAAAACAAGAGGTGACAAACTAGGATAAATATTTAATCAGCATTTAGGCAGGAGAAATACAGGCTAACTTTTCAACAGAAACATTCTAAGAGAGTACTTCTCTAGAAATGCAGGTATACACCTGAAAATACCTGAAAGACCCTAGCCTTTCATGACTGATTCCAGGCCAAGGAAATCCAGGCCAGAGCTAGTTTATCCAGGCCTCTGAAATCCTTAATTTGTTGCTTTCACTACTTCTTAAAACAATAGTTAGATATTGTCATCCATTTTTGGGCCAAACCTATGACTGGCCCAGACAAATGCTTTCAGAGTCTAACTATGATCCCCAGCAGAAAAACAGTTTAGCTTTGTTTTTAAATGTAACATGAGAAAAAGTGGAGAACAGAAGAGGGGATGCAGTTTCAGCTGATGCATCTGCTCAGTTTCTGCCTGTTCCTTGATTGCTCATTTAAAGGGAACACATGGTGGTGTTCACTGAGCAAAGTGTCACTGAGCTGCAAGCCAAACCAGACATGTTTTTATGACTATGTGCAGTACACAGATCAGTTCTTCCTTAGTTCCAATGCAAAGGAAAGGCATGGTTTAGAGAGAGAGCTTTATGTTCCTTGTTACTTTTGAAAGATTTCAAAAGCAGCCTTGTTAAAAGAAAAAAGAGCTCAGCTATGAAATCACTTCCTTCTGTTTAAACTATTTTACTCAAAGAAAAAAACAAGAGGGCATGAAAAAAAAAAATCTGTTCTCTGCTTTTGACTTGTTCCTAGGATTCAGCATCCCACCCGCTCTGTGGGATGACGCAGTGTGCCAGATCCCGACCGCTCCAGTCAGTGCGTCAAGCAGCCATAGCCCTCCCCACACAATCACCCTCTTGTCAGAGACAGCTGGCACCCTCCCTGCACATGCTGACAGCATCACCGCCTGGAGGACTGCACCCCTTTGGGGCAGCTCTTCTCCTCTTGGAGCAAGGCAGCAAGGCATGGGGAGGGCAGGCCGTGTTAGGCAGCTAACAAACAAGAAGCTCTTGTGTTATTCCCTCCCCCTCCTGCCCCCAAACACAGCGAGAATACAGACAGGGGAAAAGATGCTCTTCTGCCTGCAGCAAGAGCAACATGGCTTTGCCTGGGAGTACAGCCAGCAGGACAACTCCAGGACACCCGTTTATGGAAGTTTAAAAGTCAAATGAACAGTTCACTGCTGCCCAATTCACAATGGGGTTACTTACGGCTGAGCAGCATTTTAACAAAGATTCTAAAATGAGGAATGGTTTGCCTCCCTCTGCCAATGCTCACAGGTTTACCCAGAGCCCCAGTTCTGTTTTCCTTTCAATCCCAGGCACCCTCCCTCTCCTCTAAAATGAATTGTCTTCTCCTGTGTAAAGCAGGCTGACACAAACCAACTCCCTTCCCCACTCAACTGTGGGGAAGAAGGGAGAGTCATCTTCAGAATAAACTACTCTCCTTCACAGCTTCACTTCCTGCAAAAAGTCGGTTTCTGCCTCAAACCAATGTATTGAGCAATGTATTATTACCCTGATCTGCACCATTAAGAAAGGCAGGGGTTCTTCTCCTCCATGTTTTTGAGGTTCACTGATGCAGAAAAAGCCAGATAACTTGAGATAAATGATCAGCAAATTGCTCCATGCAGACTGACACACTCACCTTTTCTGCCCTTCCCTAAGCTCCAGTAGATAAACTTGAAGCACTACCTTTTCAAGAAGGCACACAGGAAGTGTGACCCTTGAAATTAAATCTTCTGCTTAAGAAAACTTTAAGCCAGACTTACAATTAGACTGCAAACAGTGATAGTGCACCACCACACCTGCCTGATCAACATGCTGACCACACTCTTTGCTTGAGAGATACCTGCTGATATCCAAGATATCAGTTGCCCAGAAGTGCTTTGAAGTGATGCTTAGCTTTTCTTCTTTAGAACCACAAAACAATCCTCCCCTGAAGTGCAAGTTCAGCAATATGGGATGAAACTCCCCAGATGATGGCAACTAATGAAAATTTCTCATGGTGTACATAGCAGTCTGGTAACATCTTGATGTACAAATATTTAACTCCCTCAAAGTCTCTGCACTTACCCCAAAGCCTAATTCTTGACTTCAGTCTATTCTTTATTTATTTATATCTTAAATTAAAAGAATTTACACAACAAACCCACAGCTGTTTCCCAACCATTTTTATCTTGCAACTGTGCATCCCAGGTGGTAAGGAGGTGAAAGCACTGCTGCTTCTTTACACTACAGGCCTACGAGTGACCTCTGCGAGCTTTCCTCTAGAAACCAAATTGCTTAGAAAAAAAACCAAACTGAACCAAAACCCAAACCCTTTGCAAAATAATACCAAGACGGGAGCTGCAAAAATGATAAAGAGTGTCACAACCTATGAGCGCTTTTGTTTCCTTTGAACAGATTTAATAAAATAATAAGTTATTGTTTTCTGTAAATGGTATTTTATGCAGATTAGAAGAGATACTTAAGTACAATGTGTGCAAAACACCGAATGAAGTGCAGCAGTAACAAGAAATAAAATCCTTTCTGAATTTTGAAGAAAGCTTCAACATGTGCCACTTGCAGTCCTGAAAAATCTCACCTTTATGGGGAATCAGACGTATTACTGAACTACATCTGCAGCTAAACTGAATTCATCCTCAGTTTAGCTAATGCTCCTTAACCCCTGGAGTTGTTTCACTCTTTCTAGAATAATACCTGAAAAAAATATGCTTACTGGGGAGAAAAAGGGGTCACTTTACATTCTTTGTACACCACGACTGTTGTGGCCACAGTGAGTGGCCTGTATATCTTCCCTATGACCTCTTCTCACAGGAGACTGATCCTTCTTGCTGCATACACATACCTCTAGAACCATACATGCTTGGGATTACCTGACATTTGCTATTTATTCAGTGACTGTTGATTGCTACAACTCCACATTGCATTGGTAGAAGTGCCTACTATTTTTCATACACTTTTTTTAGTAGCTGTTTTTGGGGTCTTTTGCCTTTTTTTTTTTGTAAAGTTTGAGCCAGTCTTTCACCTCATTGGAAATACTGTATGAACAATAATGTCTTCAGGAAGGAAAACAGAGAACCATTTCCTAAAAGAGGACTGCAAAACCCAAATTTTCTTGGAATTCTTAACCTCATCTTGCCTTCTGCCATGATAATCATGGAGATGGGAAAGGACAGATTTTTGAAGCACCAGGAGGTCAGGAGAGGTTTCACCAATCACTAGAGTATCCATTGGAAATCTCATACAAGTTCTTTCCCTGAAGAGAAGAGCAGGACATGGAGGAATGTATCTTATCAATGGTTTAACAGGTTAGTTAACTGCACAATTCATATTCTGGTCAAAAAGCAAATCACTAGGTCAGAGTACAACACGTAAATTCTTAAACTAAAAAGTGAGTTGACACAGTAACTCACACCAAATCTCTGCTACCATTCTGGTATGTTTGTGATTAAAGCTCAAGTCACAGCATAAACCTATGGGAACCATAATGTCAAGGAGAGAAATGGGGCTAAGTTTTGGGCTTTGTGGACTGCATAACAATTGCATTTATGAACTGTTAGGGCAACTATCTGATGCAACAGGGTAGTGGGGTAGTGGGAGACCCGTGTACTGTACTGGAAGACCTAATAGGTGAGAACACATATTGGGACAAAGAGACAACCTGTACCATGCTTGCTGCCTTCAGCTCACTATCATCTGCAGGAACAAAGAACAGAAAAACAGCAAAGAAGATCAACAGAGAACGGTACTCAGCCTTTAGGCTGTGCTTCTGCATAAGGAAACTGGGAACCCCAGACAAAACCCAAGTAAAACTATTCACAAAATTACAATAACCTCCTGAATCCAAAATGTGCTGTGGTATTTCCTTCATGCCAAGCACTGAAGCCTACGCACCTCCTGAGCAGTGTGCTGAAGCACACCAGTATCTCACATGCTACTTTCCTGTATTAGCAAATGCACCAAACACTATAGGACTGGGTACATGCAGTTCTGCTTAACACACAATCTTTTTGTGAATAGCCTGACTGTAGCTCCTGACTGTTCTCCATATAATGGAATTTCACATGAATACACACAACACCTTTCAGGTGACAAAAAGGAGACAACAGGTACTTCAGTGGAACACTGAGCCTTCTCTGTACTATTTTAAGTTTGAATCCATTTGACATCTTCAAAGGCAAAAGGACAAACATTATATAACAGGTTTCTACAAAAGATTTTAAACACGTGTTGCTGCAAAAAACCACCACATTACATCTGGATTTTCACTGTTTCATGTTACAGGGCTAAGAGACCAAGTCACATCAACTTCCATAAATAAGCTTGACAGTCCCTGTGTTGCTGCAAAAAAATGCCACATTACATCTGGATTTTCACTGGTTTCATGTTACAGGGCTAAGAGACCAAGTCACATCAACTTCCATAAATAAGCTTGACAGTCCCAGTGGTCTACTCAGAGCACCCAGTGGTGAACTCTGGGTGCTCTTATTGTCTGCATCTCCTCCAGTGTCTTCCACATTCTGCTGACCCCCAGGAGCTGACCACGCATTACTGAAATCACCTGATAAGAAACAGAGCAGGAAGAACAGGGTGGGCAAAGTAAGCACTTACCAAGCACAATGACCACAGTCTTCAGGAGGCTCATCATGGTGTCCCGATTCCTGCGGGGTCCAGAACTGTGCCTGGACATTCTCATAGTCCTTTGGCGAACGTACCCAAAGATGTGAGCATACAGGACCACCATGACCACAAAAGTGACCAGGTTGAAAATAGCCCAGAAGACCAGGTAGGAGTCACTATACAGCGGTGCCATGTTGGAGCAGTGGGTGATATCACAAATACAGTTCCATCCGACACTCGGTATGGCACCCATGACGATGGCCATAGTCCAGATAACAACAATGACAACGACCACTCGGCGGTTGCTCATCCGAGTGTGCAGCTGCATTCGAAAAACCGTAATGTGCCGCTCAATAGCAATGGCCAACAAATTGGCTACAGAGGCTGTCAGACTGGTATCAATGAGACCCTGACGGAGAAGCCAGGTGCTTACAGTCAGTCTTCTAGTGTTGGGTCCTGTGTTGAACATTAAGTAAAAGTAGGCCAGCCCTGCAAAAAAGTCCGCAGCAGCTAAGTTGGCCATTAAGTAATAAATAGGAAAGTGGAATCGGCGATTCACATAAATAGCCACCATAACCAAGAGGTTGGCCAGCATTATGAAGATGCAGACGGTAATCCCCAGTCCCATTACAAGCTTGCTGACAGTGTTCCATTCAGTGGCTAGATATTTTCCACTTCGGTTATAAAAGAAGGCAATGGTTTCATTGTAGTAGCACTGTGGTTCACTCATGGCTGTAGACTGAAAGAAGAGAGAAAAAAAAAGATTGAGAAAAAGAACCCAGAATGACATCAGAACTGAAAACATATGATTGCCTTCATGGCTAAGACATACACAAAGAGCGGGAAGGGGGACAGGAAAGGAACACACTTCAGAACAAATTTATTGTTTCAGACCAAGTGGCATTCCACAACTCACAAACAATTGCTCTGGGGAATCTAGTAACGGCAACCAGATTAGAAACCACCAGAAATGGCTCCATCTGCTCTGGGAGCCAGCATGATTTCTGATGTTGTTGTAAATTGCATAGAAAACAAGCTTTTGGCCAAACAGATCTGCTGAGAGATTCAGTTAAAGGCATGCAATTCATAATTAAGAAAAATTAACTCTGCTAGACACGTTATTTATGTTATCAGTGCACAGAACTGTTGTTTGACTGTAGCGGAAGAATAGTTCATCAAAGAGGAGGAAAAGTGTGTTACATTTCCAAGTAGGTTTTAACTCATTCCATTTTCCGTCATGGGTATTCCTTCTTGTCGTGTCTTAAAATGTGGGAAGACCACCCTAAATAAAGATTGTCAGTATGTTCTGAGACCGTGAAGTACAAGGGATAACGTATGTCCATAAAAAGTTCATGCCTTTATGAACAATAAAGAAAGCATGACATAGCATTTCTATGAGCACCAGCCACATTTCTAGAAATGGTTTGAAATACACAATGCTTTTAAATATAACTCATCAGAACTGACTTATTCCAGTTTGAAATAGGAGTGAGCCAAGAAATAAGCCAAATATTGCTTTTCTTAACTAGTGTTAAAAGCATCCAACCTTATTTCCTGCATTAACTATTGTTGTGGCTATGCCAGAGAACACATGATTAATTTTTTTTTGCAGAGTACTCCGCTGAGAACAGCTAGGGGGGTAACAAACCAGCCCATATTCTACTAAACTGTGGAAGTTTTGGATACAACTGTTGGCTTATAAGAAAATGCCTAATGAGTTTCCTTTTTAAGTTCCATGCAATTACTTAAGGTGCAATTCCCAAAAGGCAAACCTTAAGAAAATAAACCCCTCTGAATAACATCCTGGTTCTTTGTTTAGCATGGGTAAACAACAAAGATGTAAAAATCATAATTTAAAAAAAAAAAATCAAACCAATAAACACATGTCAAAAAGTCTCTTTCTATATAAGATCTGCCTTTGCCTCTCTGTTTTTATTGCTCTGGAACTCTATCAACTAAACATGAATTTTTACAAAAACAGGACCAGTTTTAGCAATGCAGGTAAGAAGCCCAATCAAGAAATAGATCAAAAACACTAAAAGGTGGTAATTTCTTCCCATTAAAACATACAAAGTTAACCATAGATTTTGGACAGCTCCAGTTGCTCTGCAGGAAGTGCTACAGCTAACCTAACCTTCTTGTGGAAAACAAAAACATACAGAATTGGGAAACAGAATTCATAACTTGACTCAAGTGAAAATAGTACCTGATAAAGATCTCCTTAGAATTACTCAAAACTGTTTCTGTTTCTTTTCATTTCTACATTTGTCAATGCAATTAAGCCAATTCCAATAAAGCAGTATACAAAACTTTCCACCTATACCCCAAATGGACTACATGGCATTTAAATTTATGTTAAAGAAAAACATCTTTTAAGAAAGATTTTACCTCCAGCCTAAACATTGACCAGAAACATTTGCAGTCCCAGGATAATAAAAAAGCTAGAATAAATAGTATTTCTCAGCCCAGTGAGTATAATACTTTTATTGCTCCTCTAGGATACATCAACCCTTGGGTTTGAAGCCTTTTAGCCTTAATTATTTAAGAAATTTTGGAAGTTCTCATGTAGGATCAGTTGCATATAAAAAAAAATTATTATCAAGGATGTTTAACAAAAGGAGACCTAGCTTCAAGACATCTGGCTTTAATTCTTTGGTTAAAGACCTTGTAGTAATAACAGGTCAAGTATAAGAACCCTTGAGGGAGAGAGGAAGTCATATGCATGAATTAGTGGCCCTAATAAAAGCTTGCCAACATCTGCATTAATTATGTAATGCACAGGATTTTTAGTCTCTGTAGGAATATCTGGATGCAGGACCTAGTGCATACTTGTGATCTTGAATAAATTCTCTTTGCCTGTGTATTTCTCACTGTTTTTTTCTTTCAGATGTCTGCTGCCCACATGTAATGAATGATTCCTGCTCCACTGTTGCTTCTATGGAAAGAGGCCTGCTACACCTGAAAAAACATATATTTTTAATTGAGAAATTTAAAATGTGGCTGGTATTATGCTTTTACTTTCTTTTTCCTTCTTTTTTCCTTTGTAGTTTTGTTTTGCATGTAGGCTTAAAATGTGAATTATTCCATGACTGTGCAATGCTCTCCCCAAACTTTTAATTTGAAATCTGAAACAAAACATGACAAAAAATATGACTTAATCATGAAATGCCAAGGCAAGGTGGAATGTACATACACACATACGGCTATGTAAAATGCTACAGAGCCTGACTTGTTCAATTTAAAACTATGACAGCACTTGAGCGATCTCAGAGAAGTTAGCATGAGGCCTTCTTGTTCTGAAGGCAGAAAACCAAAATATTATGTTCATGTAAGGAATTTTGGAGAAGTTTTGTTTCTAAGGCATTCTAATCTAAAACCTGGGACCTCCTGTAAAAGTAATCTTTTCATGCCCTGTGTGCCCCACGCCCCCTCCCAAGGGAAAGAAGAGAAGAAGATGAGACAGTTTGCTGGCAAAAATTCCAACAGGGGACTTCCAGATGATCAGCTTTCTCAGATGCCACTTAAAGGAAGGTTTTGACCTCCCGGGTCACAAACATAAAAATCCCAAGGCATCACTTTTAGCTGTGATGCTGACTGGAAAGGCTCAAGTAGGAGAGAAATGCACTCTATCTCTCAGTACTCAAAGTGTTAACATACCACAAAAGCATATGCAAGCAAGCAGACCCCATCCCCTCTCCTGCCCCTGCAGGAAAAGGGGCAGGGACGTTTATATTTTAATTTCCTGAAGTTTCACTCAGTGTGTTTCACTGCCTGTGTAAGCCAGATGTGTGGTGCCCAGAGATTTACCTCATCCATTCAGTGTATCTCAACAGAAGTTTAAAACAAACTGAGCTGCAAATTGCCCATGTTAACTAAACCTCTAGGACAAATCTGTGTGGAAGAAGTAAACATTGAGCTGTAAACCAACAAGACAGATAAAGAAAAATGGAGTAAAAGCAGATTAAAAGCAAAGTCTCCTCTTGCCACATGAAGGTGACCCAATACACATTTGTCCCAAATCAACAAAGAAGAAAATCACAAGTACATGGAATTCAATCTCTTAATCCCATGAGACATAGTTATAACTATGGCCCAGCGCACACAAACCAGGAAATTTGGCTCCAGGACTTAATAAATAAAACTCACTCTTCAGCAATTAGTCATTCAATTCACCTTGACGCTGGCCTTTTCAGGCACTATTTGCCTGGTTGTCTCCTCTCCTCTGGTTATATGGGATCACACCACACTGCTGCCAGTGGGAGCACTGGGAAGAAGAGCCCATGTAATCTTTCCCATGTTTTGTGCCTGATTCATCTTGCTTCTGCGCCACCTCTGCATCACACCCTGAAGAACAGGATGAGGATTTAGATCCACAGCAGCTTGACCACTGGATGTCCTTGGGAGAGCAGCGCATTACTACCTGCCCCTCCTGGGGCAGAGACAGCATTAAACACACTGTCTGTCTGGAGCAGAAGGTGATAGGGGATCTTTGAATCCTGCCAGCTCCATGGTGAGTGACAGCTCACCCGGTGAGGGCTGCTCACCTGGTAAGGACTGTGTATAGAGAGATGCTTGGGGTGGAAAACAAACATCAAAAAGTCTTCAAATACCATTGACTGCCTAAATGAAGCATTAATTAGCACGAGGTGCCTGAGGGGAAGATGATCAGTTTACAAACCCCTCTGCAATCTCATAGTTTGGAGAGTTCCTTGATCCACGAAATAAAAAAAGGCAGGTCACTCTCTCCCCACCCCAGTACCCATGGGTGCACCTATTTCTTGTCGAGAGAAGCACAGCAGAACATTCTTTGAATATTAAGGTCTGACTTTTACAGCACTTTTCAAACTTGTAAGTCACAATGAAAGAATCCATATCCAGGAAATCTCTTAAAGATATCTTAACCCTAGACTCTCCACACTCTGCTCCTCTCTTTTTTGTGTTTTGCTGAATTAACCTCCACATGCCACTGTTTTCTTACCCAGAACACAGAGGAGACGAAAATAAATTCATTTTTCTAATATTGTTGTGGTAAACTAAGACTACAAAACCATAAAAAACTCTCTTATGTCTTTACATTTAGAGCAGCAGTGAATGGAAATTAGTACCACTGCTTTCAGCTTGCGTATATATCTTAAAGTTTACCAACATACTGGAAGGGGTCAAGCTGAAAAACTTCAGGGAACTGCCAACTTCAAAATCCCCAAAGAAGGGTATAAATTAAGAATATCTTTAAAATAAGGATAAGCAAGTAAGTATAGGCATAATTGAATCAATATGTAAATACTTCATCAACCCACAACTGCTAAGCATGGGGTTTATGAAAGTAAAGTTGTAACAGATGAGGAAAAAAAATCCAATTTGCAAACACAGTTGTCCATTACCTAATGAAAAACATAGATTACTTTTCAAACTGCAGAACATGAAAGAAAAGCTTTAAAATAAAGCAGAAAAGATGTGCTTCCTTCAAAGATAAAAGTAGAAGTAAAAAAAAAGGTCATGAAGTCACAAGGGTCCTGATTCATTATAGCCTTATGAACAGATATGTTTTTCATCTGCACAATGGAAGTAGAAAACCCTATCACCAACACAGAATGGCTCCTCCTCTTCAGAATTGCATCTCCCAAAGTAACCATTCCACAGACTTAAAAATCTCTGTATAATAAGATGGGGTGGTTCTGTCACAGCAGGTTACTTCATTTCACTGGATTCATTCTGGCCTTCACAAAGGTGACAAGACAG